ACGCGCTCGGAAGAAGCAGCTTTAGCACAATACGCTGAAGCACGCCTGCTGGTCATCGAGCACTACGCCTTCAGGACTCGCTTGGCACTTTCGGATACCTGACTTGTACTTTAGCCAGCTCATGTCAGGACCCTGTCCGCGAGCAGTCGCCCGCAGGCACCCACCGCAGGTTGGGATGGTAAGCCTAGCTTTGTGCAAGCCGCAAGCTTGCCGCTTTCAGGCAGAGCCTCCAGCTCGGCAAGCAGATGGTTGGATGGTTGAGGCTGCACTCCTGCAGTCTACTTGGCTTTCGCCCTGCCCGCTTGGCAGGCCGCTCTTTGCAGGCACGCCTTGCCTGCTTTGTGCTCGGCCCCGCTTGTGCCTTAGCTCCTGCCCCTGCCCGCAGGCTTGGATACGCAGCTGCACGCGCAGCCGCCTTAAACACTCCATCTGCTTCTGCTTGGTCCGCTTGCACCGGCAGGCGCTTCACCATTGGACGTGCCCGCCCGGCACCTTTGCGTTAGACTTGCGCTTGCTTCTGTAGTTGCGCTCAGGTACCTAGCCCGCAGGCTCGCTCCGCTGGCTGGTCTTGACCCCAGTTTTTTCCGCAGCCCGCCTGGCTCTGTCCGCATGCACAGCTTCACAACCGCATGTTGTGCACGTCGCTGCTTTTTCTACCCAAGCTTTCTGGAAGCATTTGCCCCGTCATGGTTCCCCCCTTGACCCTTCACACTCCCATTTTCAGGGCTTCAGGGGGGATTTCGGGGTTTTTGTCGAGTCATTTGCCACGACCTGACAGAATCAACTTAGCTAACACTCAGGCTCCTTGGGGGCCGCTTGCAGCCCTCAATCGCACTACTAGCGTAGACCCTTCACTGCTTCAGACGCATTGCTCCTTAACACCCTTGCACACACGCACCTTTACTGCATTGCACCTTTGCACCCCTGCACGCACGCACGCTCGCTTGCAGGCAGGCAGGCCTGCAAGCGCATGGAGATGATTGGCCCCTCGAGTGCGGCCGCCATTTTGGAGATGGCCACCACCGAGGAGTTGCGCGACATCTTACTGAGCAGGCCCATCCTCGCAGGCCGCTTGCGCACCGTGCTCTTGCAACAGCCCGCGCCGCAAGCACCAAGCATGCACCCTCAGCCAGCACAGCCGCCCACGCCACAAACCGCATGCGCGGGCGTGCCGCCCCTGCTCCCTCAAGCATTTATTGTGCCCGGCTTCGGGGGCCAGGGGCCTGTTCAGATGCCGTGCATGTTCGCAAGCCCGCCCGGGCCCCCGCCCATGCCAGCACAGCCCGCGCAGCCACCTCAGGCAAGTCAGGCGCCGGCGCCGCAAGCACAGGACATGGATGAGTTCTGGGACAAGTTCAGCACGCAGGAGCCGCAGACGCATGGCACGCATAGCCCCTCCAGCTCAGGAGGCTGGCACGACAAACGCGACAAGCACGCAAAGGATGATTCTTAGGAGCAGTGGAGCTGGAACTGGTGGTCGTGGAGCGACACCAGCACGCACGATTGGCACAGCGCCGGATCTGACACGCATGCTCCGCACGCACCTTCGGCAAGCACTGGCATCGAGGCTAGCAAGCACGTGGGCACCGAGATTAGGTGGGCCAACGGTAGACCAGTCTACCGCCATCACAAAGGTTTTGTGGCCTGCGCAGTTGCATGCGCGCAGGTCCAGTGCCCCCACGGGCGCCCGCCCTGCAACTACAAAGTGGGGCCGGGCGACACGCGCGCGCCGCACAAGTGTAGCCTCTGCAAAAAGGCAGAGAAGGAGGAGCGAGAGCGTGCGCAGCAGAATTAGCCCCGCTCGCACGCCTGCACGCACCTTGCACCCATGAGAGAAAAAAGTGTCAACTGGACTGCTGCCTCTCATTGTGCCTAGCCTCCTGTTTGCCTAGCATGCTGCTTCACCATTCACTGCGCTCAGGCTTGCTGCGCTGCACCGCTTGTTCAGACCTCAGCCCTGCCGCCTGCAGCCGGCCTCGGTGTTTCAGCTTTTGCTTTCTCCTGCGCCTAGGGCACGCCCTGCCAGCCCCCTGCGGGGCGGCAAGCCAGCCGCGTGCTGAGCTTCGCCTTGCCTGCTTAGCGCCCCCAGCGTCTAGCTACCCCCTGCCCTGTCAGGTACTTCATTGCTGTCGACGCTCAGCTTGCCGCCTGCCTGCCTTGTCTTTGCACTTGCAGGCCCTGCACCTTTAGCTTGTATGCTGGCACGCAGGTCCTCTTTGCTCAGGCCGTTGCAGGTCCAGTATGGTTTTTGTTTGTGTGCCTGGGCCATGGATGACGAGGACGTCTCAGACTCAGGTGCCCGTGTTGTCGTCAAGCCCACGTTGGATGCGCCTGCCGTTTCTGCCCGCAACACCTCTTTGCACGTGTGCCCGCCCCAGCCGGGTCTGGCCAGCTTTCTGCCTCTTGCTGCCAAGTCGCGCCCGCGCGTCAGCCAGCTGCAGTGCGATCCCCAACCTCAGCAGCCTTTGCGCCCGCCTCAGTTTGCGCCCGTGCGGCCTTTCCTGCGTTGGGGTTCGCAAAGCCTGCCTACCCTCCGCCCTAAACTTCCTCCCAGCACGCTGCTTAGCCTCACTTTCTCAGCCAGCCTGCCTTGCTATGCCGCAACTGCAGGACCAGCAGCACCCGCTGAAAGCATCTAGTCTCGGCCGGTCAAGTCTGCCGCCTCCACCCAAGGCGCACAGACTTCGCCCCACAACTTCAAGAATGCAGGCCGACTCTAAACGCGAAGACCTCAGGCAGCTTTTCTTTCTCATCCTGCATCGTATAGAGCACGACTGCAACTTGCGCTCGCAGCTGGCCTCCTCCCAGCACTTCGCCCAGCACTTGTCTCGCCTGCTCGCCCCCTTTAGCGTGGGCACGCTCAAGCAGTACCTCAACGCATGCCTGCACTTCACGCACTTCTGGGCCCTGCATAAAGCCGCCGGTCTGATGTTGGACGTGGCTTTTGTGGCCGACTTCCTCTTGGCCGCCCTGGCTAGCAGGGAGGAAGACCGTGATGTTCACAAATGCACTCCTCTCATGTCCATCAAAGCCCTCCGCTGGCTCGCAAAGATTGTGTCCTGGCCCGACCTTCAAGAAGCCCTCGCATCCAGCATTGTTGTAGCTTATATAGCAAGCAAGTCATCCCCAGAGATAAAAGGGAGGCGACGCCGATCCCAATGGCACTCTTGGTGGCTTGGGAGCAAGCCGTCTGTGACACCAGCACCCGCCTCAGCACGCGCCTCTTCTTGGGAGCGGTTCTGGCATGCGTGCACGCCAGCATACGCTTTGGCGATTCCCAGCGTGTGGACTGGTCGTGTATCCAACTCAGCACGCACGGCATGCACGCCATTGCTTATGCAACCAAAACCACGCGACGAGGACAGCCCTTTGCATGCGCCTGGCACGGCCTGTCGGGCCGCGGCCCTTCGAGCTCGTGGGTTCTCCAGTGGCTCAAAGCGCTCGCCTGCGTATCCTCGCAGGCTTGCGAGAGCCCAGATTTTTTGTTCCTGCGCAGCACCTTGCACACCGATGACCTTGACGAGCTTGCCCCCGCAAGCTACTCTCACTCCTTGGTCAACCTTCGGCATTGCGCGCAGAGCCCCTTCGTGTCGCGCTCTGCAGCGCTGCAGCACCGTGAGGCCTGTGCGCTCACTCTGCATAGCATGAAAAGCACAGTTTTGGCAGCCAGCGCGCAACTCGACCACATGTAGGGAAGATAGGTTGGCCCAGGGACCACAGGGATAGGGCCCAGCTGTACTCTCGCAACGATACCCTGGCTTCCTTGCGCATCCAGCGCAAGCTGGCATGCAGCCTGGCATCCGGCTGGCGCCCGCAACGCAGCATGGCACGCCGGGGGACTCCAAGGATCGCCTGCTCAGCTCATCAGCCCCTTCAGACAGCTGGCTTCTCTGCACAGACGAGTGGCCGGATTTCGGCCTGGGCACGGAAGCCATGGAAGTCGAGGAGTGGGCCAGGGACCACGCCTCTTCCTCGGAAGACGAGGCCGTGCAGCTAACTTCTGCCGACGAGTCCATCCATCCAGACAGTGCAGCCTCCAGTGAGCTCTTTGTGACGTCAGGACCGTGGAATGCATTGCACACTCCAGCCCGGGACTGCGAGGACGCATTCTGGGCAGCACAGCAGGTCCCAGGCAGTCTCTCGCCGCAGGCCGAGGCTTGCTGCGGGGTTAAACTTGGCATGTTTGCTAAAAGTACAGTCTGACGCGCCGGAAGCTGTTTGCATGCGTAGGGCTTGCGTCAAAGCTCGCGAGGCACGCCTGGCTAGAACAGTCTATAAGAAACAAGCTTCCCCGCCTCAACGCCCCTCTAGGCCTCAACCCTCCTTCCTGTCGCTCAGGTCAACTACTGGGACGCCGCGTGCGCCTGCGCACATTGCTCGCCTTTCTGTAGCCTGCCTGTTGCCTTGCCTTGCAGCCCGTGCCGGCGATGCCCCGCAGCTCCTTTCTGCCCAGGTCTTGGGTTGCAGTAGATGCACAGTCAGCTCTCACAGCCTATCATGCCCTTTCCAGTTATCTAGCAATTATTCAA